AATGGGATAGCTGGCACACAGCTAAAATAAGTTCTCTAGAGGCTCTTTTAGGCTTAGACAGATGCTATCTCTCTCTCTGAGGCAATTTGGAGGGAAGAATGCATTCTTACCCATCTGAACGAGAAGTCCTAACATCTAGAAGGGTCTTCAGAGACCCCCTGGGAACACTAACCATAAACTCCGAGGTGAAGAGAGCAAATGGATTTGGAAGAAGTTGAGGAAGGACTGGGAGAGAGGGTCACCCTCCTGAAAGTGAGTGCTGTATTTTTTTTTTTTTAATGTCGGATCCGCCAGCAAACTGCTGGCAATAAAAGGAAGATTCCCAACTCACCTTGGAACGTGCACATACTTTTGAATTTATGAGAAAGGACATCTGTGGAGCCTGAAAAGGAAATGTATTCAAAGTGGGCAAACAGATTTGCTTTGGGATGTTTTCTGGACTAGAAATTGAGATTTGTCCCGGGTTTATATGGGATCTTTCTACACACTGAACAAATCCTTGAATCCCCCCCCCCATCAAATTAATCTCTGAGGACTCATGAACTGTTGTCTGCATGGTACCAGAGAAAGGAATTGTTTCCAGGCACACCTGAGATGTCACCAAGATCCTTTTTCAGGGGAGTTGTCCTGTCACTCAGTGGGGTCATGTGGGTGATTGGTAGCCTTGTTGTCACTACTGGACTTAAGTTATGATGTAGCTTCCTGTTTTTTAAAATCATAACTCCAGTAGATGAATTGATTTTCAGGGGCTGTGGTGTTTTAATATCATTTGGCAAATATGCATATTCTTTTTTATAAAGCAAGATTTTTTAATGTTTATGTGTATGTGTCTTTATGCAAGTACATGCAGGTACCCAGGGAGACCAGAAGAGGGCATCAGATCCCTTGAAGTTGGAATTTGCGGCAAAAGTGCCCCAAAATGCTCTTAACTGCTGAGCCCTCTCTCCAACCTAAATATACATATTTTAAATTTACTTCATGGTACTTCAGGATTCCTTCTCAGAAAAGAAAATGGATTTTAAAAGAAAATTTATTCTTAACAACATATATTATATATACTGTAATAATATAATACATATAATATATATTATAATATACACACACAGGTATATATATTAAGGTTTAAGTCTGTGCTTGGGAGTCAGACTTCATGGAGTTGGATCATGGATCAAGCATTTAACTGTTGTGTGTCTGTCTGTGGGCAATGTGTTTGGCTTCGCAGTGGCCTAGCAGTCTTCACTGCCTCGGTCCATATTTCCTTGCTTTCACTTCTCTTGAGCTTCGATCCTTAATGAAGTAGCTTTGCCCAGACTTTTGCCTCAGTCTTGCTTCATGGGGAACCCAGCTTGCACAAGTCTACATTTTTCCACTTCAGCTGAGACTGACTTCTTTTCACATAGAGTTTGTATGTTTGCATGTTCAAAGCTCCCGCCGTGTATGGCGACTTGATCTTGACCATGGTTTGAAGGTATATGCCAACATATTTCTTTGGTAAAAGTTCAATTTACTTATTCAGAGTTTTTTTTTTCAGTAATAGTTGTTTCTCTGCAAAATCTGAAGGAATCTCAGATTTAAAACTGGCTGCCTCATTGTGGAAGTCAGAGGGTTGAGGACACCATGAGAACATGGCTAGTAGAGTCAACTAAGTAGGGCTCATAGGTGTTCTCACAGACTGAATGGGTATGAGCTAGATCCTCTGTGTATATGTTATAGCTATATAGCTTGGTGTTCTTGTGTTACTCCTAACAGTGAGAGTAGGGGTGTCTTGGACTCTCTGGCCTGCTCTCAGGACCCTTTCCTCCTATTGGATTTCCTCATCCAGTCTTGATATGAGGGTTTGGGTCTAGTCTTATTACATCTTGTTATGCTGTGTTCAGTTGATATCCCTTGGAGGCCTACTGTTTTCTGAAGGGAAACAGAGGAGGAGTGGATTTGGAGGAGAGGGGATGGAGGGCAATTGGGAGGAGTGGAAGTAAGGGAAAATGAGGTCAGGATGTAATATATGAGACAATAAACAAAAATAAATAAATAAAAACTACATGCCTCTTATGGATAAATACAACTGAGAATCTGAGAAGTTATCTCTCAAGTATTGTCAGCCCTAATTCTAAATAAAATGTCCAGTACTCTGTCCTCAAGGTACCTTGTCATGGAGACCTTCCCATTGTAGCCCTGTTTATTCTCTTATCCCATAGGGTGATGAGCCTTCCCTTGATATGTCTATGGTGACACTTTTACCCCCCACTTCTGGTAATGAATTCTAGGACCCCTGTCAACTGCTGTCACATAATACCTTTAGCATTTGTACTCTGTTATTTATACAGACTTAATGTGACATGTAACAAGATATGATGTGAATTTGACTCAGGTGTATTGGGGATTCCTAAATAAGCCTTGGCTCAATATTATTCATGAGGATGCTATTTATTATTGAGTTATGTTTATGGCTCTATGGCTATATGGAAAATAATATCTACTAAAAGACCCAGCATGTTTTAATAGCTCTTTACTTTCTCTTCTTTCTCTCATGCTGACTTTAGAAGCCCTTTCTCCCATTTTTTCTGCCTTGCCTACTGGCTAATTCTGAGACAGATGGTGCCTGGCTTCTATTATATCTAGGTTTGTTCTACCTCTTTTTTCATGATGGGAACAATCCTTGATGTGAGAAAACCATTCAAGTATTAACCTGACATCTCAGTTCCTGGTCACTACCCAAGATGTAAAACTGCAAGAAGGTAAAAGTTCACAAAAACAAACTTTGAATTTGCACGTGTGTTGGGTAATGGTGGTATGTCTGTGTTTTCTCTATACATGCATGCAGCCGTGCATTCACAGAGGCCAGAGGAAGACTGGGTGTCCTAGTCTATTGCTGTCTATCTAATTCCCTTGAGGCAGAGTCTCTCACAATGAACCTGGCACTAGGCTGGCAGCCAGAAAACTCCAGTGATATTTTTTCCCAATACTATATTGGGGTTACAGACATGTGCATGACCTCACCAAGCTTTTCACATGAGTTTTGGGGATTCAAACTCAGATCTTCACTCCTATTCACTAAGCAATCTTTTTGTTGTATTTTACATGGGCTACTCCACCTCAACATCTGGTGGAGAGAAATGGGAAGTGAGATGTTCCGGAGCCCCAACCTGTGATTTATAAGTAATGACCTTTAAGGACAAAGGGGTCAAAATGCCTGTCATAGGTGTTGACTTGGAAGAAGTGCTGAGTAGGAAGAAAACCAAATTCTCAGGAAAGGCAAAGGAGAGCTCACAGGTACATTTTAAGAAGAGTCTCTGCATCCTATCCTACCCTACACCACTTCCAGTCACACTCTCCTGAGGAACTTCCTGAAGCGTCCTCATATGCCAGCAGGATACTAGCAGAAATAGCATGACCAACCTATGCAGAGAGGATCCACAGCAGCCTGACCGATCTTCTCATGAGCTCATAGTAATGCTAGAGAAAATTCATACTGTATTGGGTATCACTGATAGAAGTAACTTCAACAGATCTTCAGTGGCCTTGTAGTTGGGCTATGAGGCCTGTGGTGTGGCAAGTAACCAGAGGGAATGGAGTGTGATACAAACTATGCATTTGGCTTGAAAAACCCAAGATGCTCTCTATATTAATTGCACTATTAATCAAAATCCCCAAAGGCTCATGATGGACTGAAGACCTACTATGTGGCCAAGCTTTGTCTGAGCCCCAATAGTCAATACCTCTCTATACAGATTCTTTTTCAACAAAGCTCTCTGAGAACTTGAGAACAGGTTCTCTTTTCTGTGTTCCGTGAAGCCCCATCAACCCTTTAGCTTGTCATTCTCCACTCACATTTTAAACTAGGGCTATTAATTTTAAAGACGGGAAAAGCTGTCACTGGCCTCAAAGAATACAATCTCATATTTAGCTGCTCTCTTTTCCCTTGCTATAAGACACTGTCTGCCTCTTGTGGTTCTTTAAAAAGAAAATGGCCCCCAAAGAGAGTGGCACTATTAGGAGTTGTGGCTTTGTTGAAGGGAGTGTCACTGTGGGGGCAGGCTTTGAGGTCTCTTCTGCTCAAGCTTCCCTCAGTGTGACAGTCAGTCGACTTCCTGTTGCCTATCTCTCAAGATGCAAAAACTCTCAGCTCCAGCACCACACCTGTCTGCTTTGTTGCCATGATGATAATGAACTGAACCTCTAAAACTGTAAGTGAGGCCCCTCAATTAACTGTTTTCATTTATAAGAGTTGCCGTGGTCATGGTGTCTCTTCACAGCAACGAAAACACTAACCAAGACACCTCTTCATGACATTTTTCTTCATTTTGCTTTTCAGTAAGGCGAAGAAAATGATATTTTCATCCTATTTAAAGAAAGATAGAAATGCACTTAATGGTATATGGACTGAAAAAAAAAAAGAACTAAACCAGACCAATACTCATTTTAAGCATTTTCACAGATTAAATATGAGATGAATGTTCTCGGGCATTTTAGAAGGGAAAGTGGCTCTAAGAAAAGGTTGCTTTGGGCTACAGAGATGTCTACCTACAAAGCCAGGTACAGATGAGACCCTTGGGGAAAGTTGCTGAATAAGGACATTGCTCGTTTTGAATACTGACCAAGTATTCCACACATAGTCAGATACTCTAGCACTACTGTGCCCTTTGCTTTTCTCCTTTGAAATGAGATGCAGCATCTTTGTAAGGCTTCCAGGGAACTGGGGGGCTCATCAATTTCAACCTAAAGCTATTAAAATGTTACTTTGTTAACAATAATTAAGGTGTTCAGCCAGGGCTCCCTATAGATCACAGTTGGAGTCAGGGTCGTATTTTTCTCCTATAGCACCTCAGGTGTCTTAAATTAACCGACAGTCAGGGAAGGGGGCAAAATGGATCTGGGAAAGGAAGGAGAAAGGGAAAGGAGTTACTAGCTTTCAGGGCATCTTTTCTCTTTTTGTCCTTAAATTTTTTTTTTTTTTTTTTTTTTTTTTGTGTGTGTGTGTGTGTGTGTGTGTGTGTGTTCATTTGTATTCATGAGGGTGTGTGCACATGTATACATGTAAGAGTGGAAAAGTTTACATTGGGTGTCTTCCTTAATTGTTCTTTACCATATTTTTTGAGACAGAGTCTCATTAACTCGGGGCTCAACAACTTGGCTAGAATGACTGTCCAGTAAGCCTCAGACATCTTCCTGACTCTGCCTCCCCAGTACTGGGGTTAGAGGTGCCTGCTGCTGTCCCTGCCTTTGTATGTGGGTGCTGACAGGGTGATCACACACTGATTTAGACATCTCTCCAGCCACAAGCATCTTTTACCTACACCCATTTTCTCTTCTAATGTATCCTAGAACACTCATCTTGCATTTAATCTGCAAAAATGCTTAAAATGAGTATTGGTCTGATTTAATTTTTTTCAGTATGAGTTTGTAAGTCATCAGAGACACTAAAATTTTCTTTCAACTTTGGCTGATAAAATATGTAATAGTAATGCTATAGGCTATGTGTATCATACCACACTCTGAGGAGCACCTCGTCATCTAGGTTGTGTTTCTGGAATCTCATTCTTAGTTCCCTTCTTCACTCTAGCTCCCAACACTGCTTGTGTCTTCAGATTCACAGAAGAACCCCATTGTCTACCCTGCTGGCTTCTAGAATGACAACAAAGACATTGCCACTTATAAATTAGCCCAAGTATGGAATTCTGAGGACACCTGATATTTTAAGGCAATGCTTGTGGACTTTAAAATTCAGGTACATAAAAAGCATGAGAAGAGAACAGAAAATATAGTCTTTGGTCTATGTGAGGCTGCTTAATAGGCTAAAGTATTTTTGCCTTCTCTAATTCTCCTTGGGTGCATAAGGGTTGCAAGGTCTATACTGCACTGTGCATGGAAATGGTTTTGGATAATGGAAAAGATACAGGAGTCTGCTTTACCAAACCATACGCTAGCATCTGATGCAATAGAATACATAGGCTAGCCCCTGATGCAATAGAATACATAGGCTAGGTGCAGTAGAATACATAAAACTTTAGACTTTAGAAAGCCAGCTCTCAGTAACAACATGAGCCTGACTTCAACACCCAGGCAGCTCTTTTCCTTCAACTAGTAAGTGAAGACACCCACCTCAAATTTGCTGTGAGACTTAAATGTGATGATGTGTGAGAAGGAAGCCCCGGTGCACTGTATTAAATATTTGGTTAAGTCTCTGGTTGGCTGAATGCTTGGTCTCAAGTCTACAGATTTCTCTTCTTTCCTGATCCTTGTCATATGACTTGCTTTGGCAATGGAATCTGGGTGGAATGTCTATCACTTGCTGGTTCCTCTCCTAATCCCGCAAAGGTATCATGTGTGTCTGTCCTCCCTCTCTACTCCTGTCTAGAGATGATTCCTGGCTAGCTGATGCATACACAGAGGATGAGATCTGAGAATGAGTTGCCTTCAACTTCAGCATCATTAAAACACACATTTCCAAGACTATCCCCAGAAATCCCATTCACTAAGACATTGTATTTTAGTGAGTTCCCTGGGGCTGTTGATGATGTCAGTCCATCTGTTCTCCTTTTTCTTCTTGCTTTCCTCCTTCCTCTGTTCCCCTTTCTTTTTCCTTCCCCCCATCCCTTTCAGTGGCTGCATCATCCTTACATCAAGGTTCTAAAATAGACAAATGTGAAGTTTGTCCCTTCAGTGAACAACATGACTGAATTGAACATGAATTTTTAGAGCATGCTTCTGAGTATCATTTAAAAGAGTTTCTAGAAATGTGAATGCTGAGAGGAGACAGAGAAGAGAGCAGAGAGGGGTCCAGGGAACCACTGCCTCGAACTGTCCACTGGAGCCCAGCTGTTTCAGCCAACTCACACAGAGCCCTGGGATGTGATGCTTATTTATAAAGTAAATGCTTATTTGTAGACACCACTGACAATGTGTGCTCATTACATAGCAGTAGCTGACCAGTGCAAGCAAATGCTTAGCCAAATTATACATTATGGAATATATGATTGCTTTTCCAACAACCAGACTTTTGGGGGCATGCCAAGAGGCAAGCTCTAAGTTCCGAAGAGATGATAGGTGGGTTCTGAAAGTCTTTAAAATTCCATGGAACAGTAATTTTTCTTCAGAACAATTCCCTGCCACTTATATGTTATCATTTTTCTTTCCTTCATTTTTTCATTACTCTTTTCCTGCTTTAACTCAAAATCTTCTAAGAAACTTGTTAAAAGTTCTTTAGAAGCAAATCTGAAAGTGAATTCTAAGTCATGCTATGCTAGTGACTGCTTGCTTTGCCCTGGAATGCTTTAGGGCACATGTAACAAGATAAATAAAAGACCCAGAGACTGATGTTGGGGCTCAAACTTCAAGCTGAACATCAGAAAAGCAAAGCAGCTGGCCACTAGCTTCTTACCTCTATCTCAGGACGAATGGGCTGATCCTGTCTCCACAAGCTCTCACCAAGCCTCAGACTGTAACCTCTCCTCAGTGTGGCTGGAGAATGAATGCCTCCTGCTCAATACCGAAGCCGCCGCTGCTTCTGTCTTTTATACTCCTCTAGTGATGGGATTAAAGGTGTGTGATCTGTTACTCTGGTTTCTGCCTGACCTCTATAGCTTGTGGCTGACTTTGCTTTCTGAATCCTCAGGCAAATTTATTAAATCATAAATAATAGATCAGGACAGGCACACCCCATTCTACAATACAAATATGATGAGACAGAAATGGGAGGGAGGTGACAGGAAGGAGTGATGGACTTACAGAGTCCCGGAGTCTATAGACCCTTAGTTCTGGAGATCCAACAAGAGGGTAGAACCTCTCCTACCTTAGGCCCCACACTGAAGAATTCCTTACCCCAGCTGACAACTTCCTCCCTCAGGCTGAAGGCCTCAAGGATAGAGATCTTTGCCTTGTTCTCAAACACTTACATCATGCCTGGAACATAGTAGACATTCAACGCATATTTGTTGAATGAAAAAATAAGCTGAATCCCCAAGAACTTCAAGTCATTTCTTAAAATAGTAGTTTGCTGGGCATACAAACCATCCCTGACTTCACCCTCACCTTGCCTCTCTGACATGAACATGGCCACACAGCAGCTCCGAGCTGCCTGTTTCCCCCAAGATAGCACTAACAGTTGAGAGCAGTAGACACATGCTCTACTTAGACCCGGCTGTTTCTTTGTTCTGAGAATCCTTTATTAATTCTCATTTCTCACGTGGCTTTACTCCCTTTAAGTCTTCATCATTCCCTTACTCCTTACCATGAAAACATTTCCAGTACTTCTGGGAGGTGGATGGGGGAGGGGTGTGCTGGTTTATTTTTTAACACTTCAAATTTTATCTTTAATTGACAAGAATAACTGTGCTTGTTTCTGGGGTACAAGGTGCCTCTTGGACCTATGCATGCATTATAGACTTTGCTGGGTATAATATATTGAATTTGCATATTACTGTGACATTGATATGCAATATTATAGAATCATGGTATGCCTGTATACAGAAAGTGAATAATTTACCCATACCACAGGAGTATCTGGAGGTGGAGCAGAGACTTGAACTTGCTGACAGCAGATTTTTCCCTACTACTCCAAAATGCCTGAAAAGCATTTAGTCCTTTTCTGGGCCAATGTTAAGCCGGTGACTCCGATAAATTCTATTTAGATCTCTGGGACTATAAAGTGAACGGTTAACTGCTATGCTAATGCTACAAGCCAGGTAATAAAGATGGCTGACACATCTAGAACACTCTATAGCCCGGGAAACACCCTCAGACACAGTCCCCTTTGATATCGAAGGCCTTGCCCTGGCTGAAGTGATGGCTTTTTTTGCAGGTGCCCTCTCCCTCTGGAATGGGGAGATCACCAACGTCACGGTGATAGATAACGCTATATTGGCTCTGCTGCTCTTCAAACCCCAGTGAGGGCTCAGCCCGAACTGGACCACAGCTTTGAAAGAGCAAAGATTATTCTTGGGGTCTCAGACTGGAGCCTGGAAGTGAGATAATTGAAAACGGAGCAAGAGCAGCGAACAAGAGGCAGAGAGAGGAGGAAGTCTCGACATCACTGAGGCAAACGCTGACAGGAGTGTGCACAGTAAAATATTTTACTACGAAGCAGAATTACTCCAAAGACTGATGGACTCGCTCGTGAGACCCACTCACATTTATGAAGGTCATAAGTTACCGACGCCTGCCTCACTCACAGGAGCACAGCCATCACCTTTTATGGGTGAAACTTCCTGCAATATATTAAACTCTCCAGAAAACAGACAAGGGGTTTATGGCAAACGATAACTTTAATGCCTAGAAACCATTTGGTGATTTTGGGAGGATTATTAGTAACAAGGGCAAGATGCTGAGCTGTTTCCAGGCCCGGGCCCTCTCTCTCCTGCCTGCTCGCAACAGTCTTCATTTTCCTTCATGTTTCAGCCAGAAATGTGGACCGCGAGGCCATCTGTGGTAGAGTAGAGGGTGGGGAAGGTGTCTAAGCAGGACAGAGCCTTATTGGGTGAAAAGTATTCACAGCTCTTGGGTTATGGGCTCATGAAAAGAGGAAAGAGGAACCTTGTGGAAATCCTTCGGCTGTGACCAAGACTGTGATTGGAAACCCTGTGAATATTCTTATTCATTTGAATGAAGTAAACTGATGGGCAAGATGGGGTGTCATCTTAATAAAGACATTCTACCTCAGGATTCAGAGAGGGCCTTGTCCATCGAAGTCTGACTATTCTCAAGTTCTCCTCGGAGCCTGATAGTGGCCACTGATAGTGGACAGACGCGTTGATGGGAGCTCTGTGGAAGACCTAGTCATAAAAGAGGCCTCAGCGAAGTGCAGTAGGAGAAACAGCCATGTTTTCTGCAGTGAGAAAAGCCCCCGAAAATGCCCCTATGAAACCTCAAGCTGGGACTGCGCATGCCTCTGTGTCTCTGGGAGTCGCTTTCTTTATCCATAATGGAGGCAGACACAGTTCTCCCATGGAGTTCTTTGAGTAGCACTTCTTACCTGCATCCTGCCCCCCACTCTAGCATCTCCCAGACCCAGCCCTCCAGATGGCATGCATTCAGTTTCGCCCACTCCCTGATTCTAAAAGCTTTTCAGCTCATCTAAGCAACTGAGCACCAAGCCTCTGAATCACCCCGCAGAGAATCTGTAAGAAACAAATGAGAGATCCCCAGAAGGGGAGAGTTCAGAAGCCTGGCCTCCAGTCCTCCTTGGTGCATAGCCAACAGGCTGAGCATGCCGGTCAGACTCCCATTTCGACTCTGAACACTGAGCAGGTACACACAATAGTTGCTTGCACATTTGAGCCCTGTGTGTCAGCCATGGCTTACATTCTTTATGAATTCAGACCTGTTAAACTTTTTCATCTCTTAAAGTAGGTATTCTTATGATCCCTGTCTTAAAAATAAGAAACAGTGTCTCAGAATTACGGGTGACCTCAGAATTATGGGTCACTTTCCTTACCATGAGGCAGTGTGAGGATGATTGGCTCCAGAATCCAGCTTGATCCAGGTATGAGTGGAAATCCTGCTACAGTCCCATAGCTCAGAAACTCCCATGTGCCTATCAGGAAGTTTGTAAAATAGTCATATTCTTCATCCTCTGGGAATCCTGATTTAGTAGTCATGTCAGAGAGGGTTTCCAGGACTCTGTATTTGCATCAAATGTCAGAAGAAGCTAAAGAAAATGGGAGAGCCAGCAAGTGCTTAGAAACTATGCTAGAGTGTCCCCATTTGTTCATCGAGCCTCTGGGATAGATTTAGGGCTGAACTGTATGGGTGGGTCCCTGAGAGTCATCATGTCACTGGGGAAAAAGCAGAGGGAGCATATGGAAATGCAGGTGGCCTAGGACAGGCTCACCTTCCCATCAGGCTGTTGACTCTTCAAGAGGCAGCTGCTGCCCCACCTCAGTACATTGGGATGAGGATCCATCAGTGGTTCCTTGGAATTATCACCTGGCTGCTGTTTCTCAGCTCCCAGCTTTTGGAGGTCAGTGCTGTCCTGGGTCTTAGTACGGCTCCTGTGTCGTGATTGCTTGCCCTCTTTAGACAGTGGAGGATGAACTGAAGCTAGTCTCGACTCCTCCTTCCTGTGGATGAGTGCTACAGAAAGAAGCAAGGCTATTTGCACACTGAGGGGCATCCCTTCTCTAGAAGCAAAGAACGGTGGGAAACTCTGCCTGAGGATGGAACCAGGTAGCATGATGACATGTCTGTTTCTCTTAATTATAAAGGAGGGCTTGTCCTTCCAGTTGTTATGGAAACATTCATCTTCTGCCTTCCCCAATAGAACATGGAGAAAATTCACATGGGATACACACACCCCACCAGATCTCTTCTCCCATATCATCTATGAATCTCAACTCACTATAGCCTATCACTACTGTGTCAACAGTTGACTAGGGCTACCCTTGGGCTGGCAATGACGATGTCTTTATCTTCCAAGTTTCATGGATGTAACCTTTTCAGTGACTCAGACTTTAAGTTCAGCCAACTCTCTTCTTTTTTAATTATTTTTATCAATTATTTGAGACTTTTGTATAAGAATGTGTTTGGATAATATTTACTTCCTTCCATCCTTCCCTTTAACCCCCTAGATCTACTTTGCCTCCCTATTCCTTCCAACATCATGTGCTCTTTTGCTTAATACACTGTCATCTCCAATTTGTACTCTACTTAGACTTCTGGGTGTGGAGACATGCACTGGAATATGATTGACCTACCAGGGACCACACCCTTAAAGAGAACACATTCTCCCTCTCCCAGAAGTCTTCAGCTGCCCATAGCTCTTCAGTTAATGGCAGGAGCTTGTAAACACATTCCTACTCCATGCTAGAATGCTGGCAGCCTAGGTCTTGTGCAGGTACCCACAGATGCTGTGAGTTCATGAATGCAGTGGTCCTGTCATGTCTCTTCCTGACCTCTGGCTCTCACATTCTGTCTGTCTCTTCTTCCAAGATGATCCTTGAGCCTTTGGGAGGGGAATATGTATGTGTCCTATTTGTGTCTGAGTGCTCCAGTGACACTTCTTCTTTTCACTTTGATCAGTTGTGGAAACTCTCTTCTTCTATAATGACTCTATCTTCCAAAGATTTTCTTGAGGAGGAATTTCTAGGGCTGTAAGAAAAGCTTGAAGGCCACATGGACCCTTCCTAATACCCTGTGGCATAATTAATCCAACATAGCATTGTTCCTCCCAGTTTTCTGTCACCATAAATGTTTGCTTGGTGCCAAAAATATCTAATGAGATGGAACTGTCCAATGGACACTTGATGCTTAAAAAGCGCATGTGTAGTGAAAACAGTATGCCAGAAAATGTCCCAGTTTCTATTGCTGTAAAGAGCATGACCACAACAACTCTTATAGGACAAAAACATTTAATTGGAGTGGCTTACATTTCCAAAGGTTTAGTCCATTATCAACATAGCAGGAAGCAAGGCAGCATGTAGATAGACATGGTGCTAGAGAAGGAGCTGAGAGTTCTTAAATCTTGACTCAGAAGCAACAGGAAATGGTTAGAGACACTGGATGTGGCTTGAGCATTTATAAGACTTCAAAGCCCACCTCCACAGTGACATACTTTCTGCAATAAGACCACACATACTCCAACAAGGCAACACCTCCTAAAAGTACCACTCCATCTGGGGGCTGTTTTCTTCTACAGTAAAGAAATATGTTACAATTATCAGTATGATTACTAGAGACATTCCCATTGTTAATATCGGTCCAGTGAACACATATTTTATTGGAATTTTAAAAAAAGTTCATATATCCAAATTTCCAGCAAATTCTTATTTCTTTGTCTCAATATCACTAATAATTGTCAAATGATTTGCCAAATAGATATATTGAATTTTCTTGAACTATCCTTCTGTCTTTGTTTTTGAAGTACAAGAATTATTCACAGCAAATCTCTACTAATTCCAGGGATTGTTCTCGAAAAATACTTGTTATTTGTTAATTCTCTATTGTAAACTTTTCCGACACTAGGCATACTTAATTTGTTAAGATTCAGTTTCCATGTTAAACATTACTTCCCTTCCGTAAGACAGACACTCTTTGCTGTAATCTGAAATTATATTTACTGGTTTGGCTGTCATATTTGATATGTTTCTTAATGATCATGGTTCTATTGTTCTACCTAAAAATGAAATCAAAGTATTTTCATCTAGGAGTAAGAAAACAATGTGTGTCCCTGAGTGGGGTGGGAAGCAGATGCTTGTTTTTTTTTTTTTTTTAAATCAGCCATTTTAATGGTCAGTTATCATAATGTATGTGTTTGTCCTTTATTTATTTAAATTTTCATCCCCTTGTTTATTTGTAAAAATGAAAATGGTTTTATTGCCAAAAAAAGGTATTTTCATCTACTCTGGCATTGGACTCCTGTAAGGAGGCATTCTCTTACCATCTCCACAACTAATTTGGGCAGTGACTCCTTTCTGCTGAGGGGGCATTGATCCCTGAAGAATTATTCTTCATTTTTGGAAAAATGCAAGAGAAATCTGTGAGTGCCGAATGCCTGGATAGTGCCAAGTTCCACATGGAATGAGCCCAAGTGCCTCTCTCTTATTCTCAGAGTGTCTTACACAGGTGAAAGTGCTCCTTAAAATTGTCCCCATCTTCCCAAGAATGTATTTTGATTCATGAAAATCATTTCATCTCATTCAAACTCTTGTTAGCTCCTATCATAAGCACAGGCTAAAATAATCTGTGGAATTTTTTTATTGTTTAAATATGCTTGAGCAGTCTCTTTCAGGAAATGCATTCTAGCATCTGAGCCTGAATTTCTGCTACACAACTAGAGTTTTCAGCCTGCCTTATCCTTTCTTCATCTGGGTGGAGATAACTTGTATGGGCCGATCCACTGTTGTGTGATATGAGTATATTCTTATAAGTCAAAGTAGCTACCAGTTACCTACTACACAGTCAATAGTATCCAGACTCCATATGCTACAAACTGAGTCTTATCTCACCCAAAAGATTACAGTGAAGACCTAGCACCCAGTGTGACTGTGTTTGGAGACACAGACCATAAAGAGGCAATAATGTTAATTGTGTTTGCAAGGACAAGGCTTTGTTCTGATGATTCTCCTTCTGAAAAGGCAAATTAGAATTCTCCTTCCCTCTCTTTATCTCTCTCCTTTCCCCTCCCCTATCGTTCTTTCTTTGTTCTCCTAATGTCTCTTCCTTGTTTTTCCTCCCATCATGGGGACACAGTAAGAAGGCAGCAATCTAGAAGCTAGGATGAGAGCCCTAACGGAAAGCTGGGCTGTCAGATCTTGGTCTGGATTTTCAGCCTCTAGTACTGTGAGAAATAACTTCCCGCTGCCTCCCATCTAGCCTGTGATCTCTTGTTATGGCAGACTGAGCCAACCAACACACCATGAATTAGGCATGAGCATCTGATCACACTGCAGCGCTTCGTCCAGAGCTGAGTGCCTAACTGTTGGCCAGCCTTGGACAAATGACTATTTTCTTACAGTCCAGGTCACTTCATCTGTAAAACAAGGCTTTTATGTTTTTTTATGCCTGCTTCACAGGATTGTTCTTTATATTAAAAGAGTAAGGTGTGAAGTCAGTTGTTTCCTAAGTTAGCCACCCTGTGGAATCATCTAGAACTCTTCTAAAACTGCCCATGTCTACGTCCTAGCTCCATACACTGTAAAGAGTCTTTTAAATTTGCTTACAGCTTCACAGGTAACCTAGAGGTACAACAAGATTTGGAATCAAGGGCATTATTACCATAGTTGGTGCAGAGCAAACATCTGGCAGCTATTGCTTCTCTCCCCGTGCTGTCTCTTCCCCGATGAAGTGGTTGACAAGGACTCTGAATAGACAAGCATGGTGCTCTGTTGTTTATGTCTGGGTCATGCTGGTGGGAACTGATGACTTGAAAATATAAAACCTTTACTCTTTTGGTGCTGATATGCTCATGAAATTTTTTTGATATAAGCATTGTTTTTGAATTCGTTCCTCCATGTTCAGACTGCCCAGTTCCCAAGAATCTTTAGTCTTTGGCACGGCCTTGAATCACTATGCAAACTTGCCATCGATCTTGCTTCTCTTCTTCCCTCCCCATCCTCCAGTAAACACAACTCTGACTAGGGCCGATTCCAGCTCCCAAATCCCTCAGAACCACAAGAGCTGCTGTCAGGAGGAAGTGGCTGAACTTACCAGCAGGTCTGTTTCTTAATAGAGAGACTGTGCCTGTCTTCTGTCCCTTGGTGAAATTACCTCTCAGCTGGGTACTCCCAAGGGACACTATGACTCCCCAGTTCCATAAAATCTAAACTTGGGATTATTCACTTGCCTAAATTCTCAGTCCTTGGAGCCTTATCTTCAGCCTTGACAACTAATTAATAACTTCCATTTTTTTGCTAAGGAGTTGTAAAAAGATAAATGCTGGTCTTTCAACCCTTAGTTCTCATGATCATCAGTTATAACATCTCCCAATTTAGGACAAGTCCTCTGCCCTGCATGTTATCCTTCTTGACACCAAAGCATTTCCTACCAAATCTGTTTGCTGTTGACTTAATTTGGATTCTGGGTGTGGATGTGTATTTCTCAATCTCAACCCTAAGGGTCATGGATGATGTTATCCTACCTCTAAGTGCATCTAAGATCTGGCCTTCAAGTTCTAAGACAGCCTCGGTGCTGTACTTCCCAGCAGAGCTGCACGAAAAATGCCTAAGAGAGACCTGGAATCTTTGCAAAGGCACTCACCTGTCTTTCACTCATGTGATACATTGTGGCCCTTGGAAACCTCTTTATATCATCAACCATGTACTGGTAAAATTTTTTATATTTATTTATTTTACTTTATGTGTATGAGTGCTTTGTCTGAATGTATGTCTTTTTACCACTTAAGGGCCTGGTGCCCTCAGGGGCCAGAAGATGGTGTTGGATCCCCAGAACTGGAGTTACCATTACCGATGGTTGTGAGCCACCACGTGGGTACTGGGAACAGAACCCAGTTCTTCTGCAAGAGCAATAAGTACTCATAACTGTTGAGTCACTTCTCCAGCCCTGCCAGTGACTTTGTTATCATCCTATCTTTAAAAATGTCTGACTTTATAGGTGAATACAGGTGGCTCTGTAACCTTTCTCATCCCTGCTTGACCACTGGGTTCATTTGTGCAGATTGTACAAAATACAGATTTCTAGGTCCTGTCCCAAATCATTAGATCAGAATCTTTTAATGTCTGAAGTCTGTAATTAGGGAGAAGTCAAGGCTCTGGACAGTTTTTGGAGTCAGCTAGGGCTTAGAGCCATTGTCATGGTGATTAAGAGTCTGAATTCTGGGCCCAAATGTAGAATAAATTTTTATAGATGTCATACCTCACCTAGCACCTCACATCTCAGGGGCACTCATAAATCATAATTAAAACTTGCCATTATTGAGCACCTATTATATGTAAGTGTTGCACTGGATATGAACACACAGTATTTCATGCTGTTCTCACAAAAGGCAGCTACCCACACCGTGTCCAGAGAGACTGAGCCTTCCTACAGAGCAGTGATTCTCAACCTTCCTAATGCCGCACCCCCTTTAATTTGCTACTTTACAAGTATAATTCTACCACTGTTACGAATTATAATGTAAATATCTGTCATGCAGGATGGTCTTAGGTGAAAGGGTAGTTCAGCCCCAAAAGGTGTTGAGGCCCATGGGTTGAGAACCGCTGCTATAGAGGAAAGCCTGGGGCCTGGGTTTTATTCCAAAGCTTATTTCTGTTTCACACTTCACCCTCCATACACACATATATGAAATGCAGGGACCTAAAATGTTGTAGCCCCAGAAAAGAGTAGAGTCTCTTTCATTCCCCCAATCTCAGATGAACAGCCACTGTCTCATGGACATATAAAATAAGTGCCCAGTCATGGAAAAGCACCAGTTTTAGGTAGATGCCTGCATGGCAACCAGGAAAATTCAGCTGGCCCCAGATAGATTACTTCTGATTTTTAAGCTTTAAGCTCTCATTATCTTGTGGTCATAGATGTCGTCTCAGACCAGGACTGAGCAGGAAGGGGTAGCCTGCAGCCTGTGGAGAACTGGGAGGAAGTGCTCTGTTGATGTGAGGGAGGAAGCAGTTTGGAACTGAGAGGGCAGGGGTTTGTGGGAAGACTCCAGTGGGGAACAAGCTGCTAGCTCAACCACCCAGTGCCTTTCACGGCTAGATAGTGTTTTAGGGATGTCAGAGGACAATTCTGTAGAGTCCATTCTCTCCCTCCTTTGTGGCTTTCCAGGATAGAACTCCAGTCATTAGGCTTGCTCAAAAAGTGCATCGCCTACTGAGCCCATGTCAAACACAATCATAATGGCCACAAACAGAATTTCACAACTCAACATGGGCCACACACACTGATTTGCTTAGGAAAGCTGACATTTGAATTTGGATTCCAGAAATACACATAGACTCGCAGGTAGACTAATGCAGACACCCGACATGTCTAGGAGGGCAGCAGAGGCTCCAAGCTCACTTAAAGGAGCTGTTCCAGGAGGGAAATGACACTGGGCTTGGCTGCTGTGATCAGCACTGGAGACAAAAGGCTGTCAGACATCAAAGGTCTGTGGGCAAACCATGAGCCCTCCTGGTCCCAGAAAATGAACAGTGTGCCCTGAATTCTGCACAGTCTTCACAACAATGATTTCTATGACGTGGGGGGTCATACTGTTTCCTAGTTTCCAGGTTTAGATCTCAGGGGGTGAGGGAGGTGACAAGCAATAGTTTAGTTGCCTGGTTTCTGCTTCGGGCACATTCACAGGCATATGGAGGCAATATAAACATATACATACACACAAACAAAACTATATACAAGCACGCAGAAACATATGAATGTGGACATACACAAACACACACACACACACGTGGGCATGCACAAATTCCGACAAGCATATTCAAACACACACACACACACAAACACACACACACACACACACACACACACACACACACACACACACACACTCTAAGAGAAAGCCCTCACCAGATTCCTGCCCCCTGTATGAATATGCTACCTCCCACGTCCACTTCTACCTTGTAAAGGGAGATTCAGGGTGGCTTCATTGTTGCCCAAGACTAAAACCAGTTGATGCATCATGCTTGGTGGCTTCATCGTGGCATCAAGAACCAGATGAATGGAGTTAAAAGGGTAGAGGATCTATCTTGAGGGGTAGCTGTCCTTCAAAGGTGCGGGAAGACAGGGTCCTTACAACAAAGGATATGTCTCCCTTTTAGTTCATTCCTGGTGCCACCAATGATCCAGAAATTGAGTCTTAACGCCTCATTTGTTGAGAAGGACATCTTCCCTTGAATTGGTAAATGATGCCCAGTGACACAGAGAGACCTTCACAGCGAAGGCTTCGCATCACTTTACCTGTTAAAAGCCTCTTAGTTCATTTTAATTAAAAAAATTGTGAGCAATGTTCACTTCATAGAGCCTCCTCGGGTTTAAGAGAAAGGCTTTAGAGCCTTGGCAACAGATGGGGAGGGAGCAGAGGGGGGACAAAATTAAGGGTGATGCCCAGATTTACCTAACATAGCAGAAGGTGTTTGGTGACTGGGGTAGCATTATTATGAGCAGGACGGTGGTTTTCAGAATGTTTGCTCTCTGACTGAGAGGCTCTGACCTTCCAGACAGACCCTCTGGGTCCCATGCTCCCCTGCCTCCCCAAATGTATGTCCCCCACTTTTCTCCCAGTTTCTTAGTAGCCTGATGCCTCTTTCCCTCCAGTCTACCTTCATGGTCCTGCTATGGCTCTCACTGTTGCTACTCTGACTAATACGACATGTTGTTTATGTGAAGGCAAGCTCAAGTTCTTCCAAATGCTTTCCCAGATATCATCTAATTTTTCTCTAGGCAACCTTCCTCTTAGCCCACCAGGTACATGCACAGGATTGCTTTCCCCAGGTAGTAAACTGTGAAGACCGTGGCACGACTGCTTTATTTGTGCTTTTTCTAGACACACAGTCTGCCTTCCTTATTGATGCACATTTCAGAGTCTGCATTACTTACTGGCAGAGCCTAATGCACAGTGTGATAATCAAAACAGCAAGCACAGGGTATGCTGGAAGCCTGTGATCCTGTTACTGAGGTATGAGGTCTCTGGTCCTAGATACCGCCACTTCAAGCTTTGTGACAACAGGATACACTGCTTTAGAAGGTAGTTAGATGCCTGTCTCTGAAGGGTTGCAAACAGCAAGAAGATGGCGCTTCTGGTGTTACATGAGGAATTGATGGAGAGAGTAGGATGTAAGAGTAACCTCACCCCCACTTCAAGTCAACTGAGATACTCTCACTGTATGAAGGGATTGCAGAAGGGTCTCTCCAACTGTCCTCTTCTACAAACCCTTTTCAGCCCAAATTTTTCTAGGGTTGTTCTCTCTCTCTCTCTCTCTCTCTCTCTCTCTCTCTCTCTCTCTCTCTCTCTCTCT